TTAAATGGGCTTTATAATTCTCTTTAATATTTTATATTTGATTATTTTGATATCTGGATCACAAATTAGATAAAATTTCTTGGGTTGACTTGGCTCTAAGTACCTATATTATATGTTTTTTTATGCTAAATCAGGTTGGCAAAGGCTTATTTTTTAAGTTTTTTTATCTTATTTTATCATTCCGTATTTAATAGATTGTGAATTAAGTTACATAATTTATTCTCGTTTAAAAAAAAAATCCAAGTTATAATGTTCATTTTTTTAAAAAAATATGGTTCATTTACCATTATTTTCTATTTTTTATTTAATTAAAATAAAATCAACGATAGATATATATTTATAATCCAAATTATAAATTTTTTTTTCTTTTCAAAACTTGTTCGTTGGCGCTTAAATATTACTTTTTATAAAAAAATAATATAGCTCCACAGAAAAACATGAAAACACGGCTAGTAAAACACTAAAAATTTATATTACTATACTCTTCGAGTGCAGTATTATTATTATTATTAATTGAAAAATGTCCATTAAACCCCCTGAATTTCAAGTGGCCTCCCGAGCGAGCAGAAGAGAAGGAATAAAAAAATGAGTTAGAGATTGAGAACGTCAAGGTCTCTAATTAGTGAGTCGGCTTGGACTTATCGTTGATGGGCGGCTTGGTTTGTCAGCAAGTGCTAAATTCCTCAACTAAAATATGTTTGCCATTCTTATTTAAGAGCCTTGTTCCCCCTCAAAGTGTTGAAAATCTTCAAAATCCCCCTAATTTCCATATAATTATAATTATGCTTTGCAAAACGACCCCTTAAAATTAAAAATTATGTATTCTTCCCTCTCCAAACACTACCAACTAAAAAACAATTATAAAATATAATTTTATGAGGGAAAATGTTCATTTTTTTACAATCATTTTGATAACAAGCAAATTTATTCCTTGTATTGTTTTCTATAATAATATTTAAGAAAAAATCTCTCATGAATACTTTATTTAAAATTCAATAATAAAAATTTGACTCTCCATTTATAAAAACAAATTGAGAGTAAATTCTAGTATTCTAAATAAATGTTGATTCTTGGAATGCAAAACAAATTTCTAACCAAATAATAAAAGTATTATTATTAATCTTCACGTGATCACCATCATGAGTTACTTAGCTAGGGATGATTAATTTAAAAAAAATAAATTAAAATAATATTTGTTTTGAATTTATTTTTAAAAATCAAGTTAATTTGATTGAGTTGATTGGATCTTGACTTAATCTATTAATTATATCAATAAAATCAATTTCAAGTTAATTTTATTTTATACTCGATCTCGATAACAAAGAAAGTCGGTAGGATCATCAATTGACCTATAGATATAATTCATACAACTAAGGATATAAGCCACACAACTTATTTATTACAAAGAGTCATTGAAAATAGATGCATGCTTCATATTGAATTAATAATTTGACTCTTGTTGGGCTACAAGTAGTATGTTTGTTTTCAAAAGAAAACTATTTTAATTTATTTTTTATATAAAAAATTAAAGTGTAAATAAAAAATTAATTATCCTAAATAAAAAGACCAAAATGCCCTTCATAGGTAGGGAAATTACAAAAAGAAAATCTACGTGGGAGGACAAGAATACCCATAAACACATGCCTTATTTTTATTCTTTTTAAGGGAAAAATGTCTTCTTGATTCTAAGAAGCAAAAAGATAAAAAAAAAAAATCATTGGTCAATAATTCTAATTTTTTTATATTAGAGACAAATAAGGTTATTTAAAGTTTTTGGAAAAAACAAATATATTCTCTAATAATTTTTTAATGATCAATAAATTAATAGAAAATATCAAATTATCTCCAATCTGCAAGGTTTTCATTTTTTTCCACCAAAAAAATATAAAAGATAATTTTATTATAATAACTCACAGTAATTTACGGTTAATACTATCGTGAAAAAACTCACGCCCTATCGAAAAAGGCGTCTTTCAAGCTAGAAGCCATTCAATGAAATAACTTGGTAAATTAGACAGAAAGAACAACAAGTACCATTTTGGCTTAATTTAAACTGAAGAAATGGACAAGGGATAGTTTTATGGAACTCATCTTCTTCTTCAAGAGACAACGACAGCCTTATGGGGTCTTTTATGATCTCTAGGCCTATAAGTTAATCTACACAACAAAATGACAAATGATGTATAAAGACATGGATAACGAAAGACATTAACAATGGTGATTAATGCTCAAATTATGCAAGTAGTAACTAACGAGTATGATCACATGGAGAAGGAACATCAAAATCAATCTCCTCAAAAGTTCTTTCTCATTAAATTTTACAGGGAACTAATCCATGGCAGAAAAGCAAAGACCTAAAACTTCACGAGAAAAAAGGATACTCCACTCTGCTAAAACCTTTACAGGACAGAACACATCCCACTCCCGGGGGCGTTGCAAGACAGTGACGCCGGAGGGCTCCTGATCACTAATATTTGAAACGGCAACCACCACAATTATGACCCAAATTGCTGGCCCAAGTAAGGATTCACTTTTTCTTTGGTGCTGCTAAGAACAGATTATAGCTAATTAGTTATGTCCAGTTTCATTAAGTTACAAGTTACGAGTACTGTAGCAGTGCTTTTTATTTATGAATGTATTGAAATAATATTTTTTTTATTTTTAAAAATTTATTCTGACACCAACACATCAAAACAATCTAAAAACACTAAAAAAATCATTTGAAGCAAAGAAAAAAATAAAATAAATAATTTTTTTTCAAAAAACACAAGCACAATCATGCTGATTAACCTGTGGCCCTGCAGTTTTAATTTTCTTCAGCACATGTTCCGGCATCCCGTTAGGCTTGAGGCCTGACACAGTGATTACTTAGCTGAAAGAGTGATTTATGGTCAGGAATTAAAACTTCAAACGTTAGATAGGGTATTAATGAGCCCCAACCCCTTAAATTCAATTAACCTGACCAAGTCGCTGCGAATTCAAATCTTCCAAGAAGGAAAGAAAGAGGAAAAACAGAGCCCCACAATCCACAAAATTACAAGGTTTTTTTAATGTAAATTTCTAGCATTGCTGCGCAGGCTTATGGCAGGATCAGCTCTCCTCTTTTAGGACTGCCCGTTGAAGTGTATTCTGACTGCTGGCTGATGATGATAACTCTGTTTTGAATCAGTCAAAATCAAGTAAAAAATGGTTAGAAGTGTTCTTTCAAGTCTCTTGAATTCCAAGAGGCCAGAAGTTGCATGCGTTTTAAATGTTACGTGGTCATGTTGGTGGTGCAGCTAGTGTTAAAACATGAACTTGATACTCCATCCTGCTCACGCCGTTGACAAAAAGGACTGCAGTGATCATGTTCTCATTGAAACCATTGTGATGATAACTCTAGATTTTGTACGTTAGACGAATTAAAGCCATACCACAGAGCAAAACCTAATCACCTGTGGGCACCCATACCCCGCACATAAATGCTCATCAATGCCAGCAGTAAGAAATCTGTACATCAAGGCACATCAAACATTCAAACTCGTCAAAACAGCTTGCAAATATGTTTGTGTTCCGAGCAACACTCAAAGCAAAACCAAATTTGAAACTTACGATAAAAAGTGAGAAGTTATGGCAATAACATATGAACTACATTTTTTTTTTTTGACAGAACTAACATAAACATTCTCACATTTGAGACAGAGATTGGAGATCGTTAAGACAAATCACTGCTAACACTAACGCAATTCAAATCTAGTCCAAATGTACTAAACTCGTAATGATATCTCAAATCTAAAACAGAATGAAATCCATGATCGCTTAAATAACAAGCTACATCCTCATTTTCACAACAATTAGTCCTCCCTAATTCCCTTTACAGACATTTAGGTTTTTTACTCCTGTCTTGGTTAGAAAGTTTCTTGCAAAGTTCTGATCCTGAAAATGTGGTTCTCTAACATCACGAACAAATTCATGATCCTTGTACATTTCTCCTAACTCTGGAGCAGTTGCTGCAGTGGCTGCGGCTGCGGCTGTGGCTGCGGTAGGGGCAGGGGCAGTGGCTGTGGCTGGGTTTGTGGTTGAGGTTCCTCCCTCCATGGTACATTAATGTCCATTGATGCAAGCCCTTCTAATTCTTGGATTGCTGCAACTGCACTGATTGTGGCACTGGTCAAAAGAGGCTTTAGGACCCCAGTGGCTTGCTTAACTCTTGATTGCTGCAAGCAACAAAATCAGAGTGAATTGCAGTTCATTACAAAGAAAAGTACATTGCATAGCAGTGCAAGAAAATTGTTGTCTGACTTACAAAAAATTCAAGTTTCCTCTTAAGATCTCCATGCAATTCTGCTTGTGCTTGAAGCTGAGTTGCCCTGTTAATTGCCCATGGTGCATTTGCATTCTTGTTTCCAAAATGAGAAGTACAGATGATAATTAATTCAACATGCACAGATGAAGAGAGGAAAAAAATGGAGATTTATGCAACAGGTAGCGATTTGTCATATGATTGACTTAAAAATCACTACAAAAGAGCACTTTATTGATATTTAGACAACAAGAGTACATATGCATTTAGAAGAAAGCTTCACTTTGAACAACTAATTTTTCGAACTTCTGACTGACCATATTATCCACATTTTTTCTTGAGTTTGCAAATTCATGGCATTGTTCCATATTGAGTGGTGGCGATATTGATTAATAAAACAATACCCAACACAAAATTTTTGACAGAAACTCAATAACATGTCACAATATTAGTAGATACAAGATACCATTACAAGACAAATTAAAAACAACGTCAAGTTACTGAAAAGGGGAAGGAGTAAACTTTTGAATTTTGAGCGGGGAGTTCCATAAAATGGTGGATATTAAACAATTTAAAAGGAATGAGGACCAGAGTTTAAGTAGAAAAATTACAGGGGTTATTATTTTTTAAACCACTTCAAAATCTCAGCATATTTTTAATTTTTCAAGATTTTTCTTTCTATTTGGTGGGGTTGATTTTGCAACTTGCCAGTATATTGCTCCAGCACCAGTTGGTTGGAGAAACTTGAATTCAACAGGACAGATCCATCTCAAATGACAAGCATTCGAAATGATCTAATGTTAAACATCCAAGACCAAATGTGCTTTCTCAACAACAGCAAAGAAAAAAAAGAACAAATTCAAAACTTTTGGACCATGGCATGATGATGACTGTAAACACAACATAAATAGCAAACCAAATCTTTATATTTATATAGCACATTTTTATTTTCTGTTTTTACATGAGAAAACTTGTTGGTTAACAAATTAAACCAAACTGATGCTTTAACTTTTCCCCATAAAATACAAAAAAAAAAAACAACAACAACAGAATGATCAAATCGAAACTAAAGAATAAGTGAACATCAATGCAAATTAATTAATAACAGTCTACTCATCATGTCCCACAGAAAACAAATATAATTCATAATTGGTACAGATTAAAAAATATCAAGCAAACAAATCCATTTGAGAAAGCTGATATAATGCTAATCAATTCTCATTCTGTTCAATCATGACGAGACCAGTATATTAGATAACACATAACATAATTCTCTGGGAAAAAACACAAACCCTCCTTCACTATCTGCTAAACTGTAGCGATGTCATTTAATGCCTATTTATGCCTCATACCTATCACATATTAAAAAGGAAAACACATACGTTCTTGCACAAAAGATAAACTACTCAGACAATTATGGAATTTACCAAACACTACCAATAACAACCAACTATTAACACTATAACAACAGAAAATCAATCTATACCCTAATGCATGTAAGGATAAGAACATTTACCTTCCTAGGCCGGCCGACAGGCCTGCCAGAATTCTTCTTAGGCTTCAGCTTCATAACCCCAGGAACCTTAGCCGGGCGACCCGGTCCCTTATCCTGCACCATCACAACAGCGCCAGCAGCAGTTGGGGCTGCACCCTTCCTTGGCCTGCCTCTGGGCTTTGGTGATGCCACATTAAACACAGCTGCTGCATCAGTAGCAGTAGCAGTAGGAGAAGCAACAGCGTAAGGAACAGTCACTGGCTTCAACTGATTCTTAGGTGGACGTCCAGGACCCTTTTTAGCACCCACCAAAGATTTAGGCTTTCTGGGCCTTCCTGGACTCTTCTTGGACCCCAACAGCCCACTATTCGGTGGCCTCCCTCTTCCTTTCTTCAGCACTAACGGCCCAGCTTCAGTCACCACCATCTTCTTTGGCCGTCCCCGGCCTTTCCTCCCCGTCGAGGTGGGGTCAACAGGAGTCCCAACAGAACTCACAACAAGCTGACTTTGGGTCTGGGCAGTAACAGAAACATGTGAGCCAAGACCAGTCTGTGGCTGCCCATTAGCAAGCATAGGCGCAGGAGTTGGAGGAAGCCCATTAGACTTAGTTTTAGGGGGCCTTCCACGGCCCCTTTTCTGCTCAGGAGGAGCTGAAGAGATTGGAGCAACATTCTGTGGCTGAATTTGAGGTGGGTTAGTAGAAACAGTAGTTGTGGTAGTTGTAGTAGCAGTGATGTTTGTGTTAATGTCAGATCTGGGTAACATGTAAGATTTCTTGTTGAGAACAAGAGCCCCACTATTTTTCAAGCGTTTTAAGTGATGTGTCAACAAATCAGAGTGACTCGGTGGTAAACGAGGGTAAGCTCTCTCTATATACTTTGATATGGCTATCCTGCTTGACCCATCTTGTTCTTTCAAAGCTGTAATCGCTGAATATATCATCTGGCAAAACAAGAAAAGCAAATCAAGATTAGAACTTTATAAAAACAAGAAAATAAAAAACCAGTCCTTTTCTTCTTTTGTTTTTTTTACCTCAGCATAGGAAGGATGGGTTATGATGGGGGCAGGGTTGGGTGGAGGAGCTAAATGGGGGGTTTCAGTCGCGGGGGGGGGGGGGGGGGGGGG